CTCGGCTACCGCGGTCAACCTCCTCCCGGGGCGGTCGGGGCGGGGGCAGAGGGAAGGGAAGGAGATCTCAGAGTCGAAGCGTGCAGACCCCTTCTAAGAAAAGTTCTTTAATCAGGCAGTACGCAGGACCGGGTGAGCTTTCAAGACAACAGGAATTGTTTGCCCTGACAGCGTATCTTCCCCATCTGAAGACAGAAGGTGTTTTGGAACCCAGTCCCACCTGCAGTCCTTCTGTAACAGATATGGAAGTGACACGCAACTGGAAAACTCCAGATGAAAGGGGGAAAAAAAAGATGTCAAATCAGCAGTTTAAAACTCATTTGGTATGTTACCTTCCTTTAATTTTAGATTATATGCATAGAGAACCTGATCTACCCCTAAAAGAACATGCAGCATGATTTGCATTAATAAGCCCAACCAGGCACTGGACTGGAGAAACTCTTTTCAAGTGGATTAAATGACACCAAAGTTTATGAACGAACGATCCTTACGAACCAGGATTTCCAAACACACATACAGAAGTGACGTGTAACAGTGGTCTTGGCAGCTTTGGCAACGTCATTGTCTCGGATAGCATCTGCGTGGCCTCCAGCACGCTCCCGCAGCGACTTCTGTCCTCCGAGAGCCACCGCGAATCCAAAGGCCTGTTTGGTCCAGGGTAAGGAAGCGCCTCTGGAGTCTCAACGCTGCCAAATCTTGCTTTAGAGTTAAGTAGGATGCGCTGAATCTGTAACAGGATGGGCAAGTCTAGAAGAAGCCATCATAAAACTATCAAATGCCACAGTGATTTAACTTTTTTCTTTAATTAAAATGAATCCATTTACTCATTATATCCTACCCCCTCTGAGAAATTTATATAGAAACCCCCCAGAACATTTCTACTTGGGGTAACTCTAGAAAACAGCTTCTAATCCAGTATCTACATGGAAAAAGTCAGTTCTCTTCCACTTCTGCTAGCTCACCTCGTGCTAATGGCCCAGAAAATAAAAGGCAGTCCCATCCTGGGAAATTATTTCTCAAGGCCAGCACCTGAAGCGAGTTAAAGGAAAAGAAATCTTTACACTGGGCCTTCAAGTGTTGGTTTTGAAAGTCAAGGGCTATAGCGTGGCTGTGATCCAGCTGCTCGGGAAAAAGCAAACGGTCAAAAATTAAGAGCCAGAGTAAACGCATCAGTGAAAGCCAATCTCTCACAGATACAGCAACTGCCTCAAGCAAGGCAAAAAAAGTGCCCATAATGGGTAAAACTCCCAAAACTTACAGCTCACTAAAATGTTAGAAGATCTGCCTGCAAGAAGGCTGCCTCTGCAGCCAACGGGTGCACCCATCTGTGTGCTGAAGATTGTGCGTTGAGCCAGTTCCAGCTTTTGCTTATTTTGTCACCTTTTAGTCACAGGCACGGGTATTAAAGTAGAAAACATCACTGAGTTCAGAAACTATTCCAACTGGGCACAAGGAAGGAAAAAGTAAAGGGGCAGGGCACTTTGGAGGAAGGAATACGGGATACTAAAATCTAGGTTTAAATAGCTCTTTTCAAAAGATTGAAGCAGCTAGAACTAAAGAAAAGTTACGCGACTGGAAAGCAAAGAATACGGTAGAGACCTAGAAAACGGAGGATTTCGAGGTCTTTGCTCTACAAGGAACTAACACCACCTCGGTGCCATGCGTTACTTCTCACCCCATTGCTAGCTACTGGATCAACAGCGGGAAATCGGCCCCTGAGTCAGTGAGAGGAGGCGGCATTCAGATCTTCACATCCCCCTCAGAAAGAAAGGAGAGTTGAAATTTTGCTAAGGGAGGATGCATCTGAGCAGAGGTGAACTCACACCTGCAACACACAGTGTGTAACAGTGAGGAGACTCAGGAAAAACTTCATATTCTAGTCAATTAGTCTTTGGCGAAGCCCAATCAAGGCAAAACACAGATGACGCCCCACTGGCGGAGGAGAGTCCCCATTGAGTCACACAAGCAAACTCAGCAGAGCAGGTTAGGTTTATCTAAAATCTTGGAAGCCTTGAAGGAAGAACTTCACACTGAAAATGAACAAGGGAAGAAAAAAAAAAACCAACAAAAAGGGAAGGGGCAGCTGGGTGCGTGTACGCTATGCTGTAAACCAGAGTGTAGTGCTGTGGCATTGCGTTGAAGCCTCTACGAGTTAAGCCAGGGGTGCCTGAGACACTCTGCTGCTGTAGCTCGTTTCTCTGGGATCAGCTCCAACATAGGTAATAAGAAGTCTGTGAATGCGGCCGCCTCCTCTTGGGCCCACTCGTATTTTTCCACCAAGACTTCAAAAAGGCCCCAGGGCTTCAGTTTGGTGATGTGCTTCAGGTCACCTGAAAAGAAAAGACAGACAGGTTAAGTGCAAGACCTGGGAACAGAGCGGCTGAATAAAATAGGCCAAACAGCTGAACACGACAGACTGGATTCCGAAACTGTTCTGAACAGTTGGGCATAGGGAGTATAAAACGGTAGGGCACACTGAAGGAAGAATTAAGTTACACTAAAACCCCTTTTCTGTCTGCTTTTGAAGACTGTTCTAGAAATGTACTTTCTCGAAGGCTTCTTTTTTCACTTCTGCTATTTCTGATCCAATATCAGCAAATACTGTTTAACTTCATTAAATCACCAATTATACCGGTTGACATGACAGAAAAAGCACTGTGCTGTTGACTTTGGAATACACGCAATACGTGCAGCACTGTGTGGGAAAGCAAAAAACTAACAAAAAAGGGTTTGTTTTACAAAAAAAGTATTAAACTAGGTCAAAAGCTTTTTCTTGAGACGCAATACATTTCTGGAGTACTTAGAGCTTTACAATAATGGTATAATGTGTCCTGAGCAACACAGCTCAGGCTGCAAGGCGCTATTTAGGTGAGTGGCATGCTAGAAATGGAATAGAGTTGTCTAGAGAAGACTTCAAAGGTAAGTCAACATCTCTCGTTGACAAAGATCAGCTAAATAAAGCCAAACGAAGTCTGCAGAAGTATCTACAGTACTGTTTTTCTACCTGCTGCATTTGATCTACACCAAGATGTCAAGTACTAGGATGTAGGATACTTTCAGCAGTTAAGACAAAATGCCTTATATTTAGCTGCAGTTTTACTGAGAAAGCATTTCATAAAACAAAGGGAAGACTTAAAAAGGCACCTTTGCTAGCATCTGTTGTTAATTGGTACTTCCAGCAAGGCACTCTTCTGTATTTGGGGCAGGGGATGAGGCAGTAAGTGACACTGCTTTGTTTACTTTTACCTTTTTTGGTGAAAAACTCCTTGGAATATTTTCCTGCCAAAATGAGCTTGCGAGGTATTTTCCCCAGAAGTTCTATGATCAATGCAATATGATCTGCATTTTTTCAAAAGAAAAGACAATGAGACACATCCACACAAGACATCTCTATGCCCCAGTTTCCTTCTCTGGGATATAAAGACAAAGACATAATCTCCCTTAAAAATTACTTTGAGATCCACTTGAAATCAGATTACACTAAGCAATGACAAAGTCAAGGGACTAGGGGAAAAAAGGTAAGGGCAATTTGAGGCATGACCAGTTTAAGCAGCAAGATAGAGAAGCCAGCAGTAAGAGCAATGGGAAACACAAGAACATGGGCTTTATTGCACAGTGTTTCACTGCAGAGGCTCCAGCACAGTTGGTACCAATTTGGTTAAAAACTATCTTTATGCCAGGAGCCTTTGCATTGCTCACTCGTAAGAGAAGGCTCATTCTGAAGCAGCAACAACTGCATTTCACATCCCATCTTATAAAGGAAAGACTTCGACAAACACACCTTCATCCCGTGAGTAATCCTCCCCAGAATGAGGTTCGAAGAGATAGTCTCCTGTTGCTAACTCAAAGGCCTAAACAAACAGAAACGAGCACGTTAAATCACTTTAATACCCTTCACGCGTTGTTAGATGTGCTGCGGGTTGATTCTGCGTATCTGTGGGCCAGAAGCAAAGCGGTGGGAAGAATAACCTGCAAACCTCTAGCACACCGTTACCATCTAAAGATGAGCAATTACTTTGCAACGTTTTTAACGACTGCACTAAGACATCACAGGCATATCTGTGATGAACTCTGGATCACAGCATAATGCAGTACGCTTGTGTGAAACTGTACAAAGTTAAGGCATTTCACACACTTCACCTCTCTTCCGCCTCAACAGCATTTTGCAAAGTGATGTCATGTCCAAACTCTAGCTTTTTGGGGTTTTTTTTTTTGTTCTTTTTCCAAAGATTCTCCCCAACTTTCAGATATTAAAGAGACATTTTTCAAACAGTTAATCTCTGAACATTTCTCTGTAGATACAAAACCATGTTTTAAGTGAGAAAAACATTTACATTCATTTCAACTCACCACTCCTAAATTCCCCAACACATTTACTCTTTACACATTCACTTTCACTCAAAACAGTACCTCTGACCTTCTCTATTCTTAGTTTTCTTCATGGACTGCTGTAGTTTAACTATTGAATTAGGCACTGGGAGTAACCACTGTATAATTTTGGCCACACGTTCTGCAGAGACAACATGACCCTCCGCATATTCTTTTACCACACTCAATCACAGCTTGCTTTCCAAGACAGCAAAAATGATCTCACTATTTCTTAAGTTTAGAGCACAAACCCCAAGCTTTGCTTTGCAGAAAACACAGAATGGAGACACCAAAGAGGCACACGCAGTAACTGACTAGACTGATTTTTTTTTTTTGAAATCGCCATATTCTACATTTGCCAGGTATTACAGGGACAGCGTCAACCTCGTCTCAGCATTACTCAGATTATAAAATGATTCCCAATATGCAGAGGATGCATACAATTAAAATATGAAATTACACCGAAGACATCTGTGAAACAGTGCTGGATGCAGCAGAAAAGCCCTTTATATAAAAGGATTTGGTCCTCAGAATTGCATAGTTGTCTTGTTTTTCCACAAAGCATGATGACACATTTTAAATCTGCCAGTGCCGTACAACAAAACTAACTTTCAAAAGGAAAGCCACACGTGGCAAAAAAAAAAAAAAACCAAGATAAACAACTTTGGTGTGGAAACACGGTATTCAGCAAGTCTGGAAGTTGGCTGAACACCCGTGAGGGGTTTTTGCCAGGCTTGGCTAGTGACTCAGCAGCCCGGAGAGCACAGCACACACGAGTTTCCCCAAAAGCTCCACAGAAACAGTTCAAAATCCCCTGGATGACGTCACTCACCATACATGCCGTGCTCCAGATGTCAGCTGGGGTGTTGTACCCCGATCCTATCAACACCTCCAAGGATCGGTACTGTCTTGTCTGGATGTCTTCAGTGAAGTGCTTGTGCTAAACAGAAGGAATGTTTTACTAAACAGAGTGTTTAAAAAGAGGAGAATCAACAACCTGGGAGGCCAGAGCAGATCGAAGCTCATTCCCATTACGCTTCATCTGAATATAAGGGAGTCCAGCGAAGGGCAACCAAGATGACTGATGGATTGGAGCATCTCCCTCGTGAGGAAAGGCTGAGAGCGCTGGGACTCTTCAGCCTGGAGAAGAGAAGGCTGAGGGGAGACCTTATTATTGTCTACAAGTATCTAAAGGGTGGGCTGAAGGAGGATGGAGCCAGACTCTTCTCGGTGGTTCCCAGTGACAGGACGAGGGGCAACGGGCACAAGTTGGAACACAGGAAGTTCCGTTCAAATCCACGGAGAACCTTCTTTACGGTTGGGGTGGCAGAGCAGTGGCACAGGCTGCCCGGGGGGGTGGGGGAGTCCCCTTCTCTGGGGGTTTTCAAGCCCCGCCTGGATGCAGTCCTGAGGGATGTGCTCTGGGCAGTCCTGCTTCAGCAGGGGAGTGGGACGAGATGATCTCTAGAGGTCCCTTCCAACTCTGAAAATCCCGTGATTCCTACAAGTACTGCTTAAAAGCTCTACCAGAGACGCCCCTTGTTAAGTAAAACACTCCAGCAATTTAGAAGAAAGCAAGCCACAAAAATAGAATCCGGGAAGACTGTTTCAGAAGCTGCAGCCTCCCCTACCTGAATCACGACAGACAGGCCACGATTCAGCTGCCTTAAGGCAGATAAGCAACAGCAGTGTAAGAGACTACCTTGCCAGACGCTGCAAGCCTGACGCGCTATTCTGAGTTTGAGACTCTCTCCCGTAAGTTCTCAAGTATTTTGCCATTTAAAAAGCCAAGCAAAATAGGCATTTCTTCTATTTGAAATGTCAAACATTTAAAAGCTGCACAGCACAACGATCAAAGAATAAAACTATTTATGAGTCTCTTTCATGTGCTCATGAATCCACCGAAATGGTTTGACAAGCTAATAAACTACAGAACTAGCACATCAGAGCAATTGTTTGCAACCTTCTCATTCTCCAGGAGACCTACAGACTCCTTCAGAAGTTTCACATATGCAGATTTCAACACATTATATGTGACACTGTTCACGGGCCCATTAGAAGTAACCTAATGGCTAAAGAGGCACCCAGAACACAGGCTGAAACCCTGTGTTAGGGGACTATTTCTTTGTGGCCCTGCTGCACCCTCTTTTTCCCCCCCAACAGTTTCAAACTACTTTCACAAGCAGGCCTAAGAATCTATTCTACAGATTCTTTTCCATCTTGGCATACTGTGAATGAATTAGCAGGTTTAAACAGTCAATGTGAAAAGATTTTAAACTTACCACCCAGCAGGCATTTCCTAGGTCAGCTATCTTCACTTTGAGCTTATCTGCATTCTTGGGCTCAAGAGGATTAAGGAGGAAATTCCCAGCCGTTGATTTTCCTAGAGGCAACGTGTACATCAGCTGATTAAAGCTACACGGACAGTGTCACCATCTGTCATCCAAATTCTACAGCCCCCTCCCTACCCAGGAAGGGTTTTGCTTACGGATCAGAACTTTTCCCTCCCCGAAGGTATAAAAATCAGCAGTCTGCACTATGAACAACAGAACTACTACCACTAAGACCCGACTGGTGTTACAAAGCAGAAGGACAAGCAAGCCCATGTAAGAGTGACACTTTCCCAGCACTCTGCACAGCCTTAAAAAGTCTGTCTGTATCTAGACAAGCTTTTTAAATAAGGGCATTGCCAGAAACATAACAAGCTCTCAACCTTTAAGTCTTCCTAAATCTTTGAAGGACAGCCCATGTACTATAGCATCTTTTTGACATGCCCATCATTCACTGCTGCAAGAGAGACAGTTACAAGAGCTAAAATATCTGTTGTGATGACACAGTGGAGAGCAAGAATATTAAGTCACTAAATTACATTCAGCTGTAGCTCTAAAGCTATTTGAGAGAGCACTGCAAGAAGCAAAATACACCCAGTAATCTAGCAGGGGCATCCAACTAAATGCAGTTCTACTTTCAAAATATTTCACTTTCACTTGCTACTTTTCATCCATGTAAATACCCAGAAACACTCTGCCATGAAAATGCCACAGAAATTGTTAAAAAAGAAGTACAAGTGTTAGTTTTTCCCTCCTCCTCCGAGAAGATATACTTCACCTGACCTTGACTCGAAGATGCAAAGAGTGAGTTTTATCAACTAAGTTTTTAAAACACACACACTTGGAATGTGCTTTAACTGCTGTACTCTATTGTGTGTCTTATGTTCTCCTAAACCTAAAAGACTACGGTTTTTCTCCCCGAAACAAATAAGATTTAAACAAAAGCATTAAAGAGGTCTTTTCCTACACTGTATGAGCTTTGTTTCAGTCAGGCTGCATTTCTAGTTCTGGGAAAACATTTAACTCATCTCAAGTAACTGAGATGAATTACCTGTGCTCCATTTTAAGAGCAAAACTATCAGAACATGCCGAACAGCACTTATCCCATAATTTAACAGCCAGTGACAATTTGTAGACTTGCATTTCTAACTATAAATGAAAAATCACATACTGAACACCTGATGCAAAGGATGGAATGTCCCTATACTGAAAAACAAATGTATAGGGTTTGTTTTTTTTTTAAAAAAAAAAAGTGGAAACACTTATGCATTCAATAGTCAAAACTAAAGTACAACTACAATTGGAAGCCACAAACAGCAAATGCCTCAGAGCAGGACTGTCAGGTTAATTACTCCTGGGAGGAAAAGGCTCAAACAGGTGGTTCTGATCACTTCAGCCTACAAAATGGAGGTTTCTATTAATACTCTGATGAAGTGTTGTAACACAACTCTCCCAGATCGGGAAGAAAGGAGCCCTTTCTCACAGGGTTCCTCTTATACCTTTGTTGTCTGACGGGCTATTATTCTCATTCTCGTCCTCTGAAGGTATCTCTGTCCGGATGCTTTCCTGCAAATGGTTAATCTCCTGATCATTGAATGCTCTCTCTTCGTTGGACGTGGGCTGACACACCATGGAATCTTCTGAAACTAAGGGCACGAACGAGTCCGACATTGCTTCTTGAGGCCTGTTCTCCGAGTCACCATTACGCTGACTGTAACTACAACTATGGAAGTTCTCCTTCTGCGTGTGAGAGTGATCGCCACAGTCATTGGCATTATGAAGGTCATCCTCAAGTCGCACAGACCCTTGGTTGCCGGAGTCTGGGAAGTCCGTCATTTGTATCACTCCATTGCAATTTATTTCTGTTACACATTTCTCCACACTGCTTTCCATTAGAATAGATTGCTCTTGTACAATGACTTCAGCTGGAAGAGTGGAAAAGGAGAAGATAGAAGAGTATGTCTAAACAAAGTAATAGCTGAAGCTGTTCAGGGAGCCCTCAGAAGCAGGTAGTTCTCAAAACACAACTGAACCCAGTCATTCATTAATTCAATTTGTAACAGGAAATTTCTTGCTATCTTTAGATGGGTAAAACACAACGCAAACGGGTGAAATAACAGTGGTCACCTCTGCTCAAGATGCTCACTCTGCTCCTGCCAGCATCACTGAAAGGACAACGCTCTGCTACTGTAGCAATACTTTAGATCCATACCTGTCTTTTTGCTGACATTTTCCTCTGGTGGACTAACTTTTATGAGCATTTCCAGGGGGCTCTGAGCTTCTTCCTCCTCTTCAGGCTGCGTCTGCCCCGGGCTTGCTTCCTTCTCCATTTCCTCTATCTCTTGCATTCGCTTCTCTAACAACTCGGCCTGCCGTTTCTGCTTCTTTTTCAATTTCTTTTTCTTATTCTTTGACATTTTGTCAGCCTACACAGAAGCAAGCAGAGAAACTGGACTTAGCGTTTCATATTTCAATAATCCAAAACACATCAAGTTTTAATTTATTATTTCAGAGCTGAGGAAGCAGTCTGGGATGAAAACTCTGGAGACAGTTCTCCCAAATAAAAAGTAGATATTAAGGTTTTTGGAGCACTTGCCTGAGGCTCTTATCAGTGCGTTTCTGTCCTGACCCGAGAAGCCTACAGTAATCTCCAGATGAGGGATCTCAGACTCTGCAGACAACAGTCACCTTCACAACAGACCCTGAGACCACCAAGAAGACTACTCAATCTGGCGACACACGACCTAGCACTACTTACATCTCCAAGACAGCATTGAACCTGATGGCTATGTCTATGACAAACACAAATCATACTTTTCCTTCTGATTTAAGGTTGCTTTCCTTTAACACTGATGCATCATGCAACAATGCTGTAGGAACTAGAAGTAGATGGCTACTTACGCATGAAAGCTATCACACTTACTGGTTTTGGCTGTGGCGCGGTGCTCACTGAAAGGGAAAGGAAGATCAGTAAATTAGTATGATTATATTAAAACACCACAACTGCATTCTTATCTTAAGGTAAGCTTTTTCCTATGGGGTTTGGTAACAACATTTTAAAGGTATCAGCAAATGTTATTTTGGAGGCTTAATTCTCTACAAAAGTAGAGAGTAAAAAATTGAGCAAGAATGAAAAAAAAAAAGAAAAACAATAAATGAGTAAATGCGTAATTAAAATGTCAGATTGTAGAGTTGCTTGACTGATATCAAAGACTTAAATTTCCTGTCATGCAGCTTCATTTACTGCATGTATTATGCATCTTACTGGAAAGAAAATGCAAACCAAAACATTAAAATACCAAAGTTACGTTATAGGAGTTTCCCTAAGCTAAGCTGTGCTACGATAGGCTCAGCTGAATGTTGGTTTTTTAAGACTATGATTGACAGAGGCCTTCATGAAATGCATGTCCAGCATCGTGCAATGAAAGGAAATAAGCTTCTGAAGAAAATATGAGAAGCACCTCACCACGTTTTCACTCCAGCACTATTTTGAGCGCATTAGCATTTATGTGGTGCGCGCTATACAGGACTGCCTACCCTACCACTTCACCAGGGCCAGATTAGCTGTGTTAAAAGCAGATGCCAGCACACATATATCCTCCCTCCATTTTTCTTGTACAAATGACTGCTTTCCTAGTCATCTTTCAGTTACAACTTATGACTAACTTCCCAATTTCCAGTTGCCTTTTCAGGTTACTTGCATTATTGTCCCGCTGTACTCAATAAGGAAGTTCTCCCTAGTGAGATCAGTTATGATTTGGGGGTGGGGGAGAAATAGCACCAATTTTCAGGAAAAAAAGCACCTGCAGAGCCAGATGGTGGGGGAGCCCCAGATCTCTGCCACTCTGTTGCTTCCGCAGCCAGCCTGCGGATATACTGGTCGTTAACACACAGAAGAATGTTCTCAGGTTTAATGTCAGTATGAATGATTCGACATTTTGTGTGCAAGTAATCCAGACCCTGAAGAACCTGCAGAGAGGAGAGAAGGAAATTGATCATTAGAAAAAGCAAAGAATGAGCAAATTGAGTGAAGTGAGAACACAGAGTTGCCTAGGGTGACCAACGATCCTGTAGGACTTCTGTGTTTGAGAACACTCAAGATCAGAGCTAACGTGATCAGTGGTGACTACTCAGTTCCAGAAGATACACGTTTGCATACAGATTTTAGCTAGGAATTTAAAATACTCTTTACCCTCATAACTTAATTTACCAAAGCTGAAAATCTAACCTTAATACCCTACAATAAAATCATGCTTTCCATCTCCTCTCCACCTCACATGTAGAAAGACGTTTCTTCTCAGGCAACCATCCAGTAGGAAGAACAGGTTTCTCCTGCTCTTCCCATCATTAAGCACTGCACTTACTGTAACAGTTTTTAAAAAAAGGAATACTTGCACTTACAAGGAATAACCAGGGTAAGAAGAGGTTAAAAGCAAAGCTGGCCTTCCATCACGGTTTAAATATCAGAAAAATAAATATCTAAAGCAGAAGGCTGTTGCAGTAGAGAAAGGAAACATTAACCCAAGAATGATTTTGTTGCATGAGAGAGACACTACTGGTTTTGTTTTCCTGGATCTGGGAGATCTTGAATCTTCTTTTGTTTTCTTAGATCTGGGAAAGATTAGTAAAAGAGTTCTTACTGGTTTGAGGGGAACAGTGCAGTCAGAACTGGAACTTACCTGTTTGATGATCTTTTTGACACAAGGGAGTGGAAGCCCCTGATAATTTGACTTGATGATCCACTTCAGGAGATGATGGCCTAAAACTTCAAACACCATACAGATATCTGGAACTCAGTCAAGGAAAAAGACAGACCAAAGGAGCCCTGAATTTCCAGGACTGACGATCCAAAGAAATCCACACCGTTTAAGCGTTTTATATTAAAGAACCCTCATCCTTCTGACACAGCTCAGAGAAGTTGCCTTCCTGAACAGCACCATCCTATCCTACACGTTGTGGTGTTATCTACAACCTGAAATACACTGGGACGGAGTTGGTTAGGACAATGGTCCCAATGCAGCAGTAGCTCTCTCCTGCTTTGCGTGGAAGCCAGTTACACAAGCAAGTGGTGTGCATTAGTATTTCCTGCTAATATTGAGACAGCTTCAAACCAACAATGTACGTTTTGGAACAGCCTTGGCTCTTGCCCCAGGCAAAACTCAATGCCAAATCTCTCTATACCAGCATTACCTGAAGAGATAATAAAATTTCCATTTCGTAAGTCATCTTCAGAACAATTAGTAAGTTACTTTCTCCGCCCTCCCTTGCCTCTTTACCAGCAAAACAAACTTTTGACAAGCCTGGACTTCAACAATATTGACATTATCTGCTTCCATAACTAGAAAACCACCTTATTGTCCAGTTACAGGCTGCAAGTGTTTGCTATTTTTAATTACTGTTCTTAACATTTTCTACTGCTTTAATAAGGGGTTATTACCAGGCTGCTTGCAAAAGCGAGGGGTTGAGACAGATGGACGCTCTTACCACAAAGGCACCTCACACACTAAGCCATCCAGTCTTGATCACAAATCAGAAGCAGCCACCCCATCTCTCATGGTAAAAGCATGACTAAGCAGAGCTGTCTCCACAATTTACACATATTACACCAGGCTGAATGATCATTCTGGATCTGAGCTTAGCGGGTGGTTTTGAGGCAGATGATTCTACAGCAGGTTTCCTTGGGCAGTGGAAGAGATGCCTGGGCATCGCTCACCAGCCCCAACATGACAGCTACCCAGCAAACTCCCGTCTTTATGGAATTCTTTGCCTTTATTCCCCAAAAGGATACGAGAACCATTAACTCCTGAAATCTTGAAGTCATCTAGTAACTGAACAACTCTCTCTTTACTTGGATCATTTGGATCGCTGTTGCGGACCTGCAGAGAAAAACAGGATTAATCTTGCGTTCCTCGAGGTAATTACTAGGCAAAAATATATTTCGAAATCAGATCTACTACCCTACTGTTAGGTTCCTATGCAAATTCTTCACAGCTAGATGACCCAGAAATGTCAAGCACATAACTAATGTGACCTCCCCAAGATTATATATATATAAAAAATAATAATCATCATCATCGAACCCCACTCTCAGGCACTCACCGATTTCAGCAACTTGATTTCGTCCAGTGCTGTTTCTGTGTAGTGCTCTGCACTCTTCACCACCTTCATTGCCACAAATCTCCTCCCTCTACACACACAGAGTAAGTAAATTGAAGACTGTTAATGCTCATACAAAGAACTTATTCTCCAGAATTATCCCAATTCTTTTACATGTAAGAGAGCCACTTATTTAAGACATCATGGAAAAATAAGGTTAAGCACTCTCACGATGATTTTCTTTGGGTCTCTTTTTATAAAAACATCCACGTTAGTCATTTCTCATAAAATGAAATAATAGGTCAGAGACTGCTGAACACAAGTGCTCTCTTTCCACATACATGGTTTGTTCTGTTAACTCCCTCCCACACGCCTGCATGCCCAATATAAAAAGAAATTTCTGTGTCGGGATGTGGACAGCTATGTTTTGTGTTTTTATCTGAAAGCGAAAAGCAGATTTCTGATCACGTTTGTGCAATGCTGTACATTCCCACCAGAAACACTAGTTAGAACTGAAAGACTTACTGAATGTCCCAAGCTAGCCACACAGTGGAGAAGTGGCCCCATCCAAGCTTCCGAATCACGTGGTAACGTCCATTAAATAGATCTCCTATTTTCACAAGGTGATAACCACCTAGAAAAACAGTGGGAAGTTTATATATCAAGAGATCATGCAAGTGCTGAAGAGCAGGTATGTGGAACAAGCATCACAACTTGAGGCAGACTTGTCTGATGCGTTTAAAATTCTAATCATATAACCAAATGCAAACGTTTCTCTAATTGGATCTTGCTAGAACAAATAAACAGTACGTTAGGGGAAGAGCTGTGCACAGCGCTCTAGCTGATTGAAATGTTTTAATATAATTGAACCAGAATGACTGTCTTTTCCTCCTTTTCAATGTAGGTCATCACTGCAGCATCGCAAAAGGTTATTTTCTCAGTGAAAGCATCTGAAGTCTGCTAGGCTGACCCCTTTTGGCAAACACAGCTTATGATGCTCAGAATCTCACAGCTAAACATCTGCATTGCTTCCGCATGCTTCATGCCCATAACGTGAAAGAGTACTGCACCCAAGATCCCAACGGAGTTCCCCTTGCTGCCGCTTTCCTGACTGAAAGCCACTTTAACATCATCATTGAAATTAGGAAAGTCTCCTCCCTGTACCCCTAGTATGTCTCAGCTGCTGACTATGCAGGAGGATTCCGTGATGGAAGCAAAGACATGAACAGCCAGAAAAAGACAAGGGAACTGGCAGAAAACAGAACAAAGAAGAATCTGAAATTGTTAAGGCATAAATTTTTTGCCAGAACCTGGAATTACACCCTAGATTCCAAGCGCTTACTCTTCAGCTGCGGTCAGCAAATACCACCCGTGAAATGCAGGCTTTGCCAGGAAGATTCATCTCTCTTGATTGACTGGTTCACAAACAAGACAGAATTGCAATCCACTGCTTTATTAGCTCAAGCAGCAGAAGTCCCTTTTCTTCACTTAAAGATTCCAGTTACAACAGCGGCAGCTGCACCAATTTCCAAACCACACAATGGCTTTCTTCTTCCCACTTGCTTTACAACAAACACAATCCCACAAATATTTGGGTAGCATGCTAAAAGTAATGGAAATGCTTTGAAGTAAAGCACTGAAGTGTAAGAAACATTGCATTTCAAGTTCCCTGTGCTATTTCGACTTTGCAGTTTCTTTATACACATATATGGCATTTGTTACATGCTTCTCCCTCTGCCGTATTCAGTATGTACAATAAATAGTATCACAGAAGCAGTCTTACAAAGCGCTTGGAGGCGGGGGTACACATTCAAGCTTCAACTAATTGCCCAGTTGAATTTGTATGATCAGTGTTCTGCCTTTCTTAAAGCATTTGCTATGTTAAGCAGCCTGGCCCTTTTGATGTTGAATTATAAACTGTGGTATTGCCATTTGCTCTGTATTTATTTTCTACTTGGAGAAACAGTGGAAGACTATATTTGCAGACACAAAGTTATCTGAAGAACAGATACTAAGATTATGACCTTCATAAGAAAACAGTGAAGAATTTGAAACTGATTTGAAGGATTTCAAAGTGTCCTTTTTCTGATGAAAACCAAAAGAAATTGAATGCCCACTTGCTTTTACCAATTTGGAAACCCCTCCAGCACAGAGGAAAAAGCTAACAGCTTTAAACACATGGATTAAGAACAGCTCTCCAACTCAAATCTTGCCTGATAACAGAGAGAACCTTGGAGAATAGTTTCTCCATTTCAGGTTAGCTTGAAAAATGTTATTGTCGTCACGCAGCTTCAAAGAACAGTTGAAATAAGAGGGATTCTATTTTCATCCTCTATAGTAGATGGGAAATCTTGGGAATTTCTTGATTATATTGAAAATCCAGTGCCTTAAACAGGCAAGTTCTCACCTTTACAGTAATCATTTGGATCCTCTTGTTCATCGTCATCTGATCCCAGGATTTCCTCCTCTTGCTCGGGAAGATCATTCTCCGAATGAGCAGCAGGGCCCCGATGCTGAGTGTCGGGTCTGAAAGAGAACACACTGCATGTCTCACACACGTTACTCTGCAGGTCAGCAGCTTTCATTTCACACGAGGGATTGCCGATAACAGAGGAGATGCAATATTCAGCCTTCAGAAAAACTATTTTCACATTTAAATGCTTTTACTCCTAAGCTAGTATCAAGGTAGAGAGAAACAATTTTTCATAAACTAGTGAGAAAAACAACTCAATGCCCTAGATTCGCTTTTATAGTGGAACAAAGAAAAGGCCAGATAAGATAGTGAGTTAAAAGCTTAGTGATCCCACCAAAACGTTGGTCTCTTTGAACCCCTCCTCAGCCTTTCATTCCCTGAGGACTTTTCTAAAGCAAATTTGTATTTTAAGACATTACCCAATTTAAAACCTGAAGATTTAAGTGTTGATGGATGTTATTTTAAAGACTAACATCAATTAATTCTTACTCCTTTGGAAACAAAAATGAAACCAGTGTCTAGGAACCTGTGCCCTTCATCCCTTTCACCTTTGAGATCAAACGGGCATTTAACAATCCTTCTGCTTCTAACACTTTAGAACTCTAAAATCCCTAATAGTGCCCTTGGTTGCTCTTGTTCTCACATGGCAGGCTGTGTTTCTAGTTCATCTCTTCACTGAAGGTCTAAAGTTTGTTACAGTTGTCTGAACTACAGAGAGTGGGAGTTTGCAGAGCAGATGTTCTGCAAACCCTTCTGAGAGCTTGTGATTGCAGAGGGATTGAAACTGAGCACTGAGGTGGTATTTTTTCTTTTTTTTTTTTCCACTCCTACATTCATAAATAAAACCATTAATTTTGTGTGTTTAACTTTTCCACCAAATGTGCTACTCTAAGTTCTTGCTTGTGAAGATCACGTTGGCAAAGGCCACCTCATTGCTCTCATGCATTTACGCCGTGTTTGAGGTCCCCGAGCTAAAACACATCGCCACCTTCCCTGCGCCCTAACGCCTCCTTCATGGCAGCCCACTGCTTACAGCCAAACAGCTCACGAACTGCTAATACTAAAACAGGTAAGTTATTTACTTTACAACGCATTACACGGAATGGTTAATTTTCTACAAGATTTAATCTTCAACATCCTTTCGTACAAAGCAAGCATTTATAACGAACACAATGCCTATAGACCATTTGCACTGGCAAGATTTAATGGCAAAGTACCGCAGGATATTAACACTAAGCTTTCTTTTCTTGGAAGTATGAGATATTTAAAAAAGCTAGAGTTGTCCAAGGAGGCGGGCAACAAATTTCTTTACAGCAATGACGTACAAGCACGAGATAACATTCTTTACAACGCGCTTCCCTGTCAGCGTGAATTAGTGGAAGTTTCTTGTATTGAAACTATTGTTCCAGTGAAGCAGCAGATGTAACTGATGCCTTCCACCACACTATTTCAAATTCAACTGGTTTTGCTCAAAGGAGGATTAGCTGCTGAGGCAGCCCCTGGTTGTGCCAGTGGACATGCTAACGCATGTGGGCTTTCGGATGCGGCTTTTGGAGCTGCAGCCCTGTGCATCATATCATGGCCGTACGAACTAATCTCAGTCCATGGGACAAGGTAAATATGACAATTCTAAGTAGTTACACAACAGAATGAACGTTCGGCATTTACCTGCTGCACATGCGCTCTGCTGAGACTTCAAACGTTAAATACATTACTACACATTAAAACTACAGCCATCTTAAATACCCACGGAACATGGAAATGAAGAAATTGCCCGTTCCAATCTGATCATGACCAAACTTGTAGCCATTTACAATCTGGAACTGAAGTTCATTAAAGCAAAGAGGAGCTTCACAGGTCATCCCTGGCACAAGCAAACCACCCGACATTTATTTCAGTCAGTTGTCAGAGCTAGTAAATCCTGCTGTTTTTTTTTAATTCAGGAACAGATAAGCAACACAGATTAGTGGTCCCGAACCATAAAACAAGACCGCCAGACAGTCCATTCCACTGCTGCCAGGTTAATGAGACATTTATCATCAACTCCACAGCTTGATCCAGCCCCAAGATATTTCATATTTAGACTTTCTCCCCCCACCACGAGCCACGGAATTACAAGTTGGGGGTAGGAAGAAGGAAACTGGGAGGGGGGGAAAGTCTTGGAGGTCAAAAAGCGACTTTAAAACTGCTGCATTCCTCTGGGGACAACTGAGCTGCGAATAAAGTCATAGATTATCCCCAAATTAAGAGCAGGTAGCAAAGGCAAGAAAGGGCCATGGGCAGAATGGCTGAAGGGGAGACTGGACTCCCATATATAACAAATCCTATAGAAAGGGTAAAGGGAACCAGAATGTAAAACTGGACAAAAAGGAGAATTTAAGCCCAGCAGCCACACCCCTAACCTAAATTGTAACAAGTAATTCTCCCCAACACTGTTTCAAGATTTGCACTTTTGTATCTATGCAAGATGTAGGGGATTAGAATGCATTCAAAGAAAATTCATCTCAAGAACCACTGATGCAGACAGAAACATCATGCCATTCTGCAGTCCCAATGATTCTCAATAATAGTAATTTCATGCATCAAGGAAGAAGTTACTGGAAGCATCAAACCCCATTCTCTCAGAAGCTTTCTGCACCCCTCCTGAGAAGGGGCTGACGAATCATGCTGCTGACGACCTCGTACACGACACACCCTGCAGTCTGCATCCCAGTCTGTCCTGGGGATCCGAAAGCATTTCACTCGTACGTTATAATCTACTAAACCAACAAATGCGATACTGAGCTGTATTCAGGTCACATACATTTCTACAGTGCTATTTCCTTTATGAAATCACCTCCAAAATACATCTCATTCCTTTGCCTTCCTGCAAAAATCCATTAGATGTAATTACATCCCACCACCTTCTTCCCCCAAAGTGACCACGTCTACTGCAGATACAGATTAAGAGAGACTTAATCAGTGCAGACTATGTATTAATACCAAAGAAAAACTGATACACAAAACCACAACCCTCATCTGCCTGCTTCGCTCACACAGACAGTACTCTAAAAGGCACAAAAGGCTGCTAAAAGAGAGCAGAAAAATCCATACTCAGTATTTAAAGGCGACAACTGAAACAGCTGTCGGCGATATTGCAAAATGCAGGTAAAATATAAAAAGAGGCTATGAAAAATGGTTAAGAGTTTACAGACTAAAAGAATATCAAGTGTTCTAGGGTAGTGTTTGGTTTTTTTTTTTATAGCCAGCTCTGTTCTACTTAAGAACATCTTGATCACCTTTTACTTTTGCTCTCTCAATGTGCTAATTAATCATCAAAATTACCCAGATTTGCAGGGTGCCTCTACAACTATATAGCATTATTTTACTTAAGGAAAACCATGTGGAACAGCAATGCTAAGGCAAAATGCTAGATCTTTTATGGGATTCGCATGAATCCACATCTGGAGACCCTCCCAAAAGTCCTTATTCTCCAGGAAT